AGGCAAGTATTTCATATAATCATTTTCTTCCTATATTTACCTGAACCATCAAATAGTTTTGCGGTCTTAATGAGGGTTACCATATCGGTGGATAGCAATATGTCATCTGAGTCCAAGATTTGGTCTAGAATTAGTCTACTTAAAGTATACAATTGTAGTCAGTGTGATTTGTTGGTAATACTTAGCTTTATAACTAACTGTAGTCCTATCATCCTCACCCTCACAATCATGTTATCAAGCTGCATTTAGCATCTGCATCCAGCCGATAACTCCAAGTATTAGGTGGGTATGAAGACTGATTTGGCTTTTTCATGGAATTTGGTGTAACTGTGCAGGCTCAGTCAGCACTTGGAATAAGTGGAAGATGGTTTGATGAACTCTTCTCTTCCAGTCTTTCTGCTCGGAGTGCTGGTTAAAGCTACAGGAGTGGCTTCTGAAATGAAGCAAAAGAAAAAAAGAAAAAGAAAAGCATTGCAGACACTTCTCTTTAGATTTAGAAGTCCGCAGCACGTTGAAAGCAACACTTTGCTCCATAGTGTAGGAGACTGAAGTACCCCTTTGAAACGTCATAGAGACCCAGAAAGACTTGCCAAGTGGTTTTGTGACAGCCTACTCAGAATTAAGTTTAATGAATAAGAGGGTGGAGGAATTTGCTTTTTATTCAGTGTAAGAGAGAGAGACAGAGAGAAGGAAGGAAAGTATTCTTTTATTATTTTATACATTTCTGGCTTTGATTCAAAGGAACTTCCCTTTCCTGACAAAATAACTTTTTGCAATAGAAAGTTCTACTTAGGAAAAGAAATGTCAAAGGTCCCCAGTTCTCTCTTTTCAAATCTTAAAAAATTATTATTATTATTATTATTAGTCAAATATTCAGCAAAGTTTCTACCTTTCATGTTACTGTTTCTTGGCAAGCTTGAAGTCAGATAAAATCAGTTTGGAGACAGATTTAATCCACAGATCAAATAGTAATGTTTCCTTCCCTTTATCCTTACCCAATTCTTCTTCTTCTAAGGATGAAAAGGTGGTTGAAACTGGGAGATGCCACAGTTCTTTGGTCCACTTTTACAATTATGAGAATATTTGTACTGTCTCATTGTTTCCCAATGTCTACGAAAAGTTCAAAGTTCATTGGCAACCTCTTTTTATTTATTAATTGTAGTGGAGGAGGGTGGAGAGAGCCTGGACAGGGATCATGATAACTGATTCACGAAATACAATTTGTTTGTGTAGGGTTTCAACATCAGAGACTTTGAGAGAAAGAACCATTCATCTATCAGGGAATTCGTGTTGTTAGGCTTAACAAGTTCTCCTGAAATACAGACACTTCTATTCTGGTC